GGTTTTTAAGCAGTGTTGCCTGTCACAGGAGATGTCCAATTACACTGTAATTCCTCAAACGGGAGCTCCCAGTTCTTGAAAACCAAATGTCACCTCTCAGCAGGACTTGGGTAGGCAAAGGCTCAGCACAACTCGAGGTTCGTCTCCGCGGGATGGTAAGAGGAAATCTCGCTAGGACGGTGCAAGAATTATAGCAGGAATTCTACCCAAGCCGCTTTTTTCAAGGATTTCTCACTTGGATAAAAGTAACCTTTTTCATTTTTACTTTTATCCCTTCAAAACCAGAACAATTTTAGTGAAAAAGACCACACCGGTGGTAAAGGAGGGCCACACCAGAGCACCTCATGCTGCACCATCCAACACAACTCTCCAGGAACAGCGTGCATGGACAAACCTCACCCCACTCGCTGCACCCCACATTTCAGCAAAACCCTAGAATAGACATATTCACAGGAAGCTATTTATTTTCTTTTTCTTTCTTTTTTAAAATAATAGAATCATTAACATAATTGACTTTCAAGGCACCACTGCTGGCACCTCTATCAACCCTCATTTGACACCGACTCCAGGCACCGAGTCCTCAGAGGATATTTCAGTCCTCCTCTGCCTTTCTTCTCCCTCTCTGCTGTCCAAGTACTCATCAGAAAGACTCCTGAAAAGCACAACCTGGAATAAATCTCCTTGCCTGGACAGTCTTCTCTCCTTCAAATACAAACTATTCCATGCTTTTATTTGACCTGGCAGTACATGCTAGCACATGTAATGCAAACAACATTTTAGTTGTACTCAGACACTTGTCTAACTTAGATCAGAGTAAGTCAGATTTTATAGCTAAGCCACAAGCTTTAAATTTTGGGCCTCAACAAATTGTGAAGGACACATGCATCTCCCTAGGAAGCCTGCATAGCTCTTAACTCGGCACCAGCCCTCGATATGTGTCCAGAAAGCACCTAATACAGGGCTGGTAGATCTGCGTTCAGCTCCTGAGGAGAGGAGCAGATTGTGGGGGAAAGGAGGCAGTAGAGACCTGCCACCTGGGTCACACTCAACTCTTGATGTTATCCAAAGGCACAGGCCATAGCCTGGAGAAACTGATTCTTCTGTCCTTTTTATGATATGAGAAAAGAAAAAGAAAAGGGGAAAGAAGAAAGAAAAGAAGGAAAAGAAAGAAAGAAGGAAAAGAAAGAAGGAAAGAAGGAAAGAAAGAAGGAAAGAAGGAAAGAAGGAAAGAAGGAAAGAAGGAAAGAAGGAAAGAAGGAAAGAAGGAAAGAAGGAAAGAAAGAAAGAAGGAAAGAAAGAAAGAAAGAAAGAAAGAGAAAGAAAAGAAAGAAAAGAAAGAAAGAAAGAAAGAAAGAAAGAAAAGGAGAAAGAGAATGAAGAAAGGTGCAAGGAGGGGTAACGTAACATCCCCAAACAGGGATGCTCTGACAAGGTCGGCACTGCCAGTGCCCATCAGATCTCAGGGGGTCTCATATATGTAACATATGCCACAGCGTCTGCAGAATGGCGACGTAAGACAGACAGCCCTGTTTCCTGCCTCCAGGGTATAGATATTATTGACAAAACCCTCCCCAGATAGAAATTTAACTGAAGAAAAATGCAAGTAAAAGGTATTTTATAAAATGGACAACCAACACATACTTTCTTTTTAAAATTTCTTTTAAATTTATTTTAAATAGGAACCTTCTACTTCACTTATTTTTGGAATTTGTATTGCTATGTATGCTTGTTCCTGGATAGGAAGTCTTATTCCTTAAGAAAATATTAGGGCAACATTAAAAAAACCTTTAAAATTTGGATGATAACCTGAAGCGTGAGATGTTAACAGCAGCAGCATGAATACTCCTATTTAATAAACTCAGCCACAAATAACAGAGTTAAAATAATACTGAGCCATAAGCAGTCTGGTTGAAGTCTGTAAAAAAACAGGAAAAATCAAAGTTATAGCTCAAACTTCTCTTTGTCCTATTAACTCGCTCCCATTTGGGCTAAGCACATTGGATATATTCCAAAATATCACTTATGATCTGCACCAGAAACACCAGGAAAACGGAAGAGGACTCTTTGGACAAGCGTGGTTTCTGAGATCTGAAGTATGAAATTAACCTTTTCACATACAAATAGTCCCCGACATGTTTGGCAGGGTAATGCTCTTCAACAGAAAATTGGGATTTAAATCATTTCAATTTAACTGTGCCAAACAATGGTGGTGTTCCTCCAAGCCTACGCCTTGAGCATGTGATGATGGGTACAGAAAAACATCACTGACTAAGATTTTTATTTTCTTGTTGTAAGTACATTCTGGTTGCAACATCAAGGTCTCAGCAATGGCCATGGTGGAATGAGGACTGAACCTCTCCACACACCCATCGTGTCCTGCGGATGCAGCAGAACAGAGAGAAGCCGTCGGGCCTCAGCCATTCCCTGGCCCTGTTGCAACAGCTCCGCGGGCTTCCTCGCGCCCCGTTCATAACGACGGGGAGGAGCCCATTCCATTATGAAAATGAAAATAATAAAAACCTTCTCCACCTCTCCCACCCCCACTTTTTCTTTCTTCCTCCTTTCACCTTCCCAATAGTTGAGCTCCCTGCTCCAAAACACGTAGGTGCAATGATTTCTGAATCAAGTGCTTGCAGCAACTTTAATAAACATGAGCAAAATATAGTATTTCCCCCTCCTCTCATTCCCTGGAATGGTTCAAATATTTTTATTGAAACTTTCCCAAGAAATTCAGCCTGAAGGAGACACCCAGCATGGAAAATTTCAGCCCAAACAGCTCAATGTTGGCAACATAATAAGCAACTGAAACAGTCTTATAATGGAAAGTGTTGCACAACCTTCAATATAGGTGGCAATATAATACAAACAGCATTCACTGTTGTTACTAACATAAAGTCACACGAAAACTCGTAGAGGTGAGGGTCAAATTAAAACGTCTCTTAAAATGCAACCGTTGCAAAAATTGTAGGTTAAAATAAAAGAAAGGGAGGGAGAAGGACACTGGAACGAACCAACAAGGAAGAGGAGCGGAGTGTCCCCTCTCCTCACCCGCCCCCAACTCCCCTACACTGCCACAACACCCGGCGTGCACCGACTGTCCCAGGATCGTGTCCCAGGGTGACTCCCATGGTGATGTCAGCGTTAGTTGATGATAAAACTCCTACTACACGCAGTTCCGAGAGCTTTGCAGCGCCCTAGAAACGTCTGCGCTCATGCACCCACATTGAGGGCTAGCTGGTTATTAAAAAAAAAAAAAGATTTGCAAATGAACTGAAAAGCTATACTTGAGAACTAGCTTAAAAGAAGAAAACACAAGCAAGGAAGCTGCTCTTATTAAGGGGATGTATCTGTATATCCGCCTAACACGCGGCAGCTCCAGACACGGGAGCAGCCAGACCTGGGTGGGAGGAGCCTTTCCGCGTCCGGCCGGCTCCAGCTTGCTGAGGCAGCAGGAGAAGGCAGCGTGGCCACATCTACCCTCACGCGCACAGACCTTTGCGCAAAGAGCCAAAGGAGCCTGTCGCTGCTTCCGTGTTGACTCACAATGTTTATTTGTTCCATTTGGTCTCTTCATGACCTAATCTCTAAAGCATAGGCCGACAGGGGAGATGTAGCAACCGCAAGCCTCGTTCGCCACGTACTGCCCCGGCCTCGGCAGCGCGGGCAAGGGCACTATCCTCAGCTTGCAGAACGCGCTGCAAGGTCCAGGGTCGCTCACAGCACTGCCCACTTGCGCGTGGGCTTACAAAAATGGGACAACTACCTGGCAGCAACATGCCACGGCCTTGGGCTCATGCCGGCAAGTGGTGCCAGGCCACAAGGCGACAGAATGAATGCTGACCCCTCTTCTCACCATCCTACGGACGGCTGTGGAAAAGCATCACTAGTGACATCCAGCTCATCTTCACATTAGCCTCATTTGGGTAAGCTGTGCAGAGAAAAGGCTGCCGTCTACTCCAAAGCATGAGCTTCCACCACTTGCACTTCAACTTGCAGTTCAACTACATATTAAAAGCCACCTATTTGTTCTCCTGCTCCTCTGTACAACTATCAGAGCAAAGTGCTGGTTTTATCTGTTTCCCCTTCCAATCCTTCTTCCACTTTTGTGCTGAGATGTTTCTACATGTTTTTTTTGTCACTTCTGCATCAAGAGGAAGAAGTGTTTGGGACGGTAGGTTTAGCTTCCAAACTTCCTCATCACATTAGCAGCTTTTGGAGGGAAACCAAAAGACTAGGTTAGCAGTTAACCTCTAGTTATACAATATGTGAAAGCCACAGGCGGCCTCTGTGTTGAGGAGGATGGTGGCAGATCCATTTCCAAGGCAGGATCCCAATTTGGCAGCTCAGGATTCTGTCAACCCAGAAACATCACCCTCTCCCTTGGTGCCTTCACAAGCCAAGGCAAAACAACTTGGTTGGGTCCTGGACAGAAAAGACAACTATTAAGTTGCGTCACTGCTGGGTTAAGTATAAACGTGGTGAAATGTAATCTGGTGGAGCTCAGCAGCCTGCAGTCTCGTCTCCTGGGCAGGGTGAAAGATTCT